TTTCGCCCATTGTCCAAGATTCCCCACTGTTGCCTGCCGTAGGAGTCTGGGCCGTGTCTCAGTCCTAGTGTGGTTGATCATCCGAAAAGACCAGCTAAGCATCATCGGCTTGGTCAGCCTGAACTGCTCATTTGTACAATCAATATGTTCAATAAATGAGACGTTGTAGAAGTTCACAATGCGAGGCTAGTGCCTCTATGAGCCCCATTCAGCCCCCATTTTGGAGCCAGTCGGCCGCCCTAAGTGAAGGCAGGCTCGACGAGGCCCTCAGGGCCCTATTTCGGCCACTGCGCAAACTAAGGAAATTCAGGCAGTTGCGCAACGCCAGTTGGTTGAGGAAAACCCAGGCCCTGGGCCGCCTGTGTGAATGAATGGAAAGCAGGCCCTGGGCTGGATACGGGTACTGGGCCAAACTCATGCGAAAGGCAGTTGGGCACATGCAACTACCGCAGGCCCCATGCATATTCTCGATCGTGCAAGGCCTCAGGCTACCGGGGCCTACTGGAAGCTTCCTTGGACTGGACGCAGGCATGCCACTTCGATATAGCAAAGGGCCTGCCTCCTCATTCAGCATTCGGGTGGTGGCTGCATGCTGCGCAAGCGCTGCTGCGCTATTTGCTGGCTGGCACTCATGCTCTCATGGGCGAGCAGGAAGGAGCGGGCAGCCATAGCCGAGCTGCTCCGCTGTGAGCTGGGTGTGGCGCAGGGTGATCCTTGGGTGCTAGTGGCATCTATGTGTTGGGGAACGAGGCTGTGAGTGAATCGAGAGACATACCTAGTGCTGGAAGCGTGCGCCATAGGTCGCTGTATGCTCGTACTTCGGGAAAGCTGTTGACGTCATCTTTCGACATTGTAGTTTAGGCTAGATAGGATCTGCCATCTGTCGTCTGGGCGCCGAGCGCCAAATAGGATATCAACATTGGTTCTTCTTTGATGATGATGATGAGACATTACTAGCATTGCCAATTTTGAGCTCTTGGTGTCTTCTTATTTGGTGAAACTTGTGATGCAATTCCGCTCTTGGTTCGAGGTCACGACTATCTGGTCTTGTGAATATGATGCTGTTTGATTGCTGAAGTTCGCTATTGCTCATCTTCCTTGCATCGGAGTTGTGGTACGATTGCGCTCATCTGGCGCTTGTCTTCTGCCTTATGCGGTACATACATGCGGTCTACTTGGCGAGTGATAGGCGACCCAGGAGGTGAGGGGATCGCCAGAAAGGCTACGTAGGGGTAATGTGGTCTTGGCAGTGTGATGAGAACTATCTAATGTGCGATTGATGTTGAGGTGGAACGGCGAGATAATGCTGGTTGTGTCGATGCAGTGACTGGTTATCGGAATCGCCATCTGGTCATCTGGTGAGATTATCTCTGTGGTTGGGGGCAGCTATTTGCGGTACGTTGCTCTTAACCTTATCTACCCTCTTCGACACTTCTTACCGTGTTGTGTGTTCCTTCTTGAGAGTCCTCTCATTGTGAGGTGTCGAGTGCGCTCAACCTTGAGAGTCGACAATGTTCACGTGGAGCATCAGGGAGAAGATGGGCGGAGCTTTTGAAGGGCCCTGGACGAAGCACTGGGTCACGGTCACCATGCCAACCCACCGGGAGTAGAGCACGCATGCTTTGCTGCTTGTCCTTTGTTTGGCTTGCTGCGCTGTTAGATGGGTACTCAAGGGCAGGCCAGCCCTTAAGGGAGACGACACCGGGCGTCTTTACATAAGCACCGGAAGGGGAACCATTGTGATCATCGTCCGACTGCGACGTAAAATAATTCCTGGAGTCACTTGGGGGCGGACGTTGGATTGCCTCTGGATCAGCCAATGGTTGTAAGGCTCGCTGCACGCGAGGATAATCCAGTGCAGGGCTGGCCAGCTCAGCAGATACTCGGGACACAAGGGTGGGCCGAACACACACCTTTAGACACGCGACGCTCTCCAGATTGCTCATGGACGCTCACGTCAAGTGATACTCGGGGGAACAAAGGGAGGGGTAAATTCCAGGTGATAAGTTCGAGAAAATTCCATGCTGTCCTATCCACACAAATGATTCTATTTTTATGTTTTGATTAGTTAGGTGTACAGCCATTGACACCTGACAGACAACATTAGTTGGAAATAGTTTCGTTTGTAAGAATCTAACTTACGTGTTGACCTCAAGTGATATCTGTTCCAAAATAGCAACCACGTAATTAGTTGGTTTGTGCACTACGCTACGGTAGGCATCCAGAGTGCAGTAGTGCAGATTGTGTACAGTGCTGTAGCTTATGAGCGATAGGGAGGAACAGCAACCGGATGACCGGATCTTGCGATCGGCAAGGCGCCCGATTGCCCACTTGGCATTAGGACCAGAGGGTGACAGGTACCTGTTCCGCCAGCGTAGGGATAGATTGCAGCAACAAAGGAGGGCTAGAGCAGCAGAGGCTAGCGGGCCACTTGTGAGTGAGGCCGCAGCTTCGGAAGCCATGGCCACTTCAGCGCAGCAGACTTCTCAGGCCGGTAGTTCAGGGTCTGTCGGGTCAACGGTCGCGCAGACCCAGAGTTAGTCCACTGGCGTAATGGCGAGCCAGCCATTGGTGTTGACCTCCGACGAGATCGCCATACAGGAGGCAGCTCTGAAAGAGGCACAACTACAACATGCATTAGGACAGATAAAAGCGGAGAAGGAAAGAATGATTAGCAGAAGAGTCCGGATTCAGCGGTGAGAAGTGGACGTTAGTGAGTTAGAGGAGATGGACCTGACGCACGTAACGGATGATGTGAGGATCATCCGGTCTGTTCTGCTGAAATGTAGTGGAGATGCAGGACCAGCAAACAACCATCCTTCATGACATCCAGCAGAGTCTGGCCTTGTTGGTTGGGCGAGCGCCAGCAACGTCGCCAATGTCCGGGCCTGGTGCCTGGCCCCTTGTACATCCTCCTCCTTATGTCCCACCAGTGACTGGGGTATCCCCATATAGCCCCATCATCAGTTGCTATCGTTTCCCTGGGCATGCCGCTTTCAGGAGGGGTATCAGCAGGAACTAGTTTGCAGGTTCCTATACAGACAGTGTACACCCAATCTCCGTTGAATCTCCGTTGCAGGTTGCGGTCACCACGCAACCTACTGTCTCGCAGCATGTGCAGCCGAAGGGCACACAGCCCCAGCAGCTAGCACAACAACCTGTGTCACAGGGTCCACAACCCGAAGTGATGCAGGGACCGTGACAAACACAGTGGGTTCCAAAGACGACCATCGCCGCTCTGAAACCCTTCACAGGGGATAAGAGAGGTGAAGACCTCGACATGGTTGAGGGCAGTGCCAGTCTATGTTAGGTGTAAACTTACCTTGCCGCACGAAGAAGTGCTTGTGGCTGCCTTCTACCTAGAGGGTAGTGCAAC